GAAGAAATGCGAGTTTTTTTGCGCCTGGCTCTTACTGTGACCATGAGAAGCATGCAAGTTTGTTTTTTGTTTGTTTCATACGTAAACCATGCCTTAGAACTAATACTAATTATCAATGATACGACCAGGGAACTGTGCCACTTGCACTGGCTTGGCCTCGCCCATTGGTCACTACCACCAGCAGATGGTTATGTGTCACATGTGCAGCAGTTATCGAAATCGAATGTTGGTAATAAAGAGTTTGTCTATTTAAGCGTCTGTTTTTTTTCATACAAACAACATGACATGAACATGCATCGCTTTTTCTCTTACTGCGATCGTGACCAATTTCCCAACGCGCATATTTTAAAAATAGCATCGTTCCCTTTACTTTTATCATCTCTTCCGATATCCGCATCTGTACACAAGTCCATGTCAAAATTATAATTCAACATATGACGTCAATCACGCACTTACTGCAGATCTGAAAGTAGCGGTCAGAAGACTGTGATGTGTGAGTGGATGTCTTACGCATACTATGTTCAGCTAATTTTTTCCGCGGATATATTATTTCAGAATTTAGCTAGATCTCACTGTTTTGTTGCATTGATAAATGGGAGCGATGTCACTTGAATTGCACCAAAAGCATCCGCAGATAAAATGCTATTGCCATCATTTTAGGTCGCACCTCCAATTACGGCGTGACGGTCGTCCTGCGACGAAGCAGGAATGAAAATGTGGATAATTTCAAAGCTGCCATGCAATACTCACTCCCTGTTACATTATGTGCCCACTTACGGACAGCAAACATAAGTTAAGGGCCTGATATTCTCTCTTGATTACGGATATGACATTGTGGCTATTGTGGCGCATTCGAATGCTGTAACACAAAGTTTATTATTTGTGTTTGTGGACAGTGTGATGAGCTGAGGGGACTTCCCACGATTGAAAAAAAATTCACTTTTTGTCAGTGTCAAGCCATCAGTTGCTGCAGGCTGCAGGCGATTTCAGAATGTCCAGCCTATTGCTTACTGAGATGAGGTACAAGGTAGAAGTCGCTGCTACATTTTGGCGAGGAACCATTTAAAATTCCACCGTTTCCTTATCGTTTGTGGTTGGGAACTGCCATCACCATGTTTAAGGCGTAATTTGGTACTGTAGGGATTTCATAGGCCAAGTGCATTTATCACTGCTGTCTAAGCAATGTCCCTGATATCAGGCAAACAATATAGTGCCTTTGATGACAATGCTATGACATTTTGCGGGCATATTCTATGCATAGATATACAAGTAAGAGACAATACAAAATACCGGCTGTGCTTAAACTTAATACTTGCGGGGTTAATGCTGATTCAGCATAGTAGCACAACCTTTTGTGGAGTAGATCCCTAACTCGGCGGGACGAGCCGGGCCGCGGGCCGACATCATTGGGAAAAGCTGCATCTCTTGCAGGGACATTACTGGCTGCGGACCGGAGGCGGTCGCTGTGGTCGGAACGTCCGACCAGGAAACGCTTCCCCCCCCCCCCTCTTCCCCCCCCCCCACCCGGAAACCGTCCCTACGCGTTGACACGTTTGGTTGGAAGACAGCGATAGCGGCGGCGACGCGGCCAGGGCGCAAGGTTAGGTAACCAGCGGGGACGAGGGATGCACCGGCGCCAGACGCGGCAGGACGCAAGGTTAGGTAACCAGCGGGGACGAGGGATGCACCGGCGCCAGACGCGGCCGGGGCGCAAGGTTAGGTAACGGGCGAGGACGGGGATGCAGCGGCGCCAGACGCGGCAGGACGCAAGGCTAGGCAACCGGCGGGCACGAGGGATGCACCGGCGCCAGACGCGGCCGGGGCACAAGGTTAGGTAACGGGCGAGGACGGGGGATGCAGCGGCGCCAGGACGCGGCCGAGGGCACAAGGGGTTAGGTAACGGGCTGAGCACGGGGGATTCCAGCGGTACGCCAAGGTTAGGTAACCGGCGAGTACGAGGGATGCACCGCGGCCAGACCGGCCCGGCGCGGTACGCGCTTTGGTCGTAGGGCGCCGTGATAGCGCGAGGGCGCCCGCTGATAGTCACGGCTGCTCTCCGATAGGGGTGGGAGGTGGTGTGACAGACGGGCGGCCAGGCGGGAGGGGTGTCGGTGACGGTGGCAGGGGCTCCGATAAGAGGGGATTGGTGAGAATGAGGAGGAACGGCGCAGTACGGGTGTGACGGCACCAAGCGGTCTTGTGTTTGGAAGTGCGGGCTCATCCCGTTATCTAGAATGTCTTCCCAGGCTTTGAAGTTGATAACAGACCTGACAATGGTTAAAAAAAACACTAATCCCAAAACCATCGCCCAAAAACAAGAGGTCCAAAATACACTGATGTTACAGCGACCCGCAACATTCGGCATGTCTATGTATCGGCTGATTAGCAGTGTATGTATGTGTGGGGGGGGGGGGCAGAGCAGACGCTGCCCCCTAACTTTGGAAAATAACATCAAACTTGTGGCGCTGTGTAGAAAGAATGGCTTCAAAACAATCTTTGCCCTTCAACTCGAACGAGTTTCCGGCGTCGCCGGTCAGGACAGAGGAAAGCTGGTTCAAAACAGAGCCACGCATACAGCAAGTTCAATGCGGCTGCATGCAATATGCAAAGCCAATTGGTCGCTGCTGGCGGCGGTTGTTAGCACCAGGCGGTGCGCGGCGGGCGGGGGGCGCGGGCGAGCCGGGGCCGGCACCCGTGTGCGGGGGCCAGCGTCGGGCGGCCCGCCGCGCGCCACACGCCACGCGGCACGCACACGCACATGCGTGCAAGCCGTGCAATGAACCCGCGCGGATTCAGTGCAGCGCTGCAGTCCTGGCAACAGAGTCCACCGGCCGTAGAGGGCAGAGCGGTCAGAACCCTGCGTGCGAGGGGCAGCGCTCTCTCCGCTCCGACGCTCTCTCCTGCGGGCTGGTCCAAGTCTGGGCGCGGCTTCGCGGCGTTGCCGGGCCCTCCACGTCGGCCCTCAGTCGCCCTCGCCAAAACGAAGTTCGTCACTTGGTGGTGCGGGCAATGCCTGACTACCATCGTTAGACCCTCGTCGGGAGAACAATTACCAGTCGAACCATTCGCGAGGACCTAACAACTAGAAGCTCGAGCCGGCTTGCCAGCTTCGAGCGCTAACGCTGACCCGTGTACAGCGCAAAGCCGGTAATGTCCTAGCCAGCCCGCCAGCCCTGGCTGTGGGCGGGAGGGGAGCACCAGCAAACACCGGGCGACTCCGCAGCGAGCGACCGTCGACCCGGATCCGAGGGCTCGACGCCGGGATCCTCCCGACAGCCGCTGAGCCGCTGGGCCGCCGATGCTGGGACCGGAGCTCGATGCGACGCACCGCCGACAGCCCCGCCGCCGGCCCCCATCGATCGACGTCAGCGGTCTGGCCCGACCAACGTTGACCTGCAGCTACGTCACAGGGCACGCCCCCGCCCGCCGCCGCGGTGCGTAGGTCACCACCTCGAGCGCCGCCAGTCGCGGTTTTGCCGAGGTGGAGCGCTAAGAGCTGTCGGAGGTTTTGTGCGTTGGCATTAGCTTTTCCCTTCTTGCAGGAGTTTTTGCATTATCTAGCAAAACGTGCGCATGGCTATGAAAAGTGTGCTGAACTGAGCGAGTCACATAATGAGAGACATTCGCCACGAGAATTATGCACAAGGATGCGGCCAGATCAAGGGCGAAGCAAGGTCGAGCTTGCTCCCTGCAGCGTGATGGGGTTGTGTTCCCCAAATACACTTGGCTGGAGGCGTTGGAGGCGCTTGGCATCGCTTATCTACACTACAACTTTGACTTTTGCCAAGCCTAGCGTCCTTGGGAATACACGGGCGCTGACAAGTGGTAAAAACCAACTCTTGGTTTCAGGTGCCGTTTCGACGCATTTACGAACCATAGGTGTCAATGAGGTGTAATGTTGGGGTGATTGTACGCACTTTTTGCTCCTACCATACTAGGACACGGAAGGTGTTCCCTTGAGATCGCTTGGTTTGGTTAATAAGCACTGTTTTGATTTGTGGTGAGATACGGCTGCGTTTTTGGCATGTTTCGCAAGTCATTCCCATACACAAACGGAATAGCAAAAACGTTGATTGTATGTGTGATGTGCCACTTTGCGTAGATTCCACTCAACTCCTACAGCTCTCCATTAGACAGTGAAAAAGAATTGATGCATTTCGTCCGAGGAATTTGTTGTCCTCATGCGCCGATCGGAGCTGGAGTCCTCCACGGGCAGACCGTTTCGCCTTCTTTTTTAGGGCGCCTCACGCACCTGGGTGCGGCCGTAGAGCCACCTATGAAGCTCGATTGCAAACCAGTCTCATACATTTCAACATTTTATTAAATATGATCTCCGCGTCATGAACACATGTTTCGCCCGTGCCTGTCACACTCACGCCCGTCACAGCACGTGACACACCCGGATCTGGCAGCACACCCGGATCTGGCAGCGCACCCGCGCGGCTGGGCCAGCAGCAATGTCGATACAAACACGAACATTGGCCACCGACGTATCACAGCGGGCGCCGGTGAGCGCTGGCAGTGGTCCGGTGTCTCGCCGCAGCTCACGCGCGACCAGCGCCCACCAGCACCCTGTGCTCCGAACAGGCCCGTCGGTGACGCGAAGGCACCCAGCGCGGCCCCGTCGGCGGCGACCAGCTGTGACGCGGACGGCGACGGCAGGTCAGCCGGGTCGAACCAGCCGGGCCGGCTGACCTCACGCGTGCCCCGGTCCCCCTCCCCCCGAACCCAGCGCCGGCCGCCAGGGGCGTGTTAGTCGACAGCGGCGCAGACGGCGCCCGTGGGGTTTGGAAAAGTGGTCGGACAGTGCTGTAAAAAACAAACAAGCTGACGCGCGTCACACGGCGACGAAAGACATCAAATAATCGGCCCAGCTATATTAAAACGCGTAATGTATCAACAGACGCCCTCATCCACTCGCCCGGGACGAACACAGGTACGTGATGACTCGTAATGATCCGATAACTCGATAGGACTTCATCCACATGCACAACAACGCGTCTCGCACCGCCTACAACAAGTAGCAAGACTAGTGTCACACAGAGGCCGCCGCCGTCCTGGCCGTTCGCCCACGGCCATTGCACGTCCTGGCCGTGCGACGGCACGTCCGGCCGCCGGCCGGCAACCACCGCACGTCCTACACGCACAACTGCACGCGCTGGCCGCACGCCGGCGACCATTGCACGTCCTTGACGCCCGTCCGCACGTGCTGGCGGCACGCGGCGCGCCTCAGTCCGCGCCTACTGTCACAAGCCGGAGGGAGGCTGTGGCCGGTTGAAGCCGTCGCCCAGGTGCTTGGCGATCTCCCGGTGCAGCTGGTCGGGCAGCACGCCCACGTTGGCGAACAAGTTCTTAAGCACGTTCAGCTCCTTGGAGAGGATCTCGATCCGTTTGTGCAGCCCGTCGTTTTCCCGCGCCAGCAGCTTGACGCGCTCCTCGGTCTCGCGCGAGCGCACCTTGGCCTTCTCGCGCGAGCGGCGCACGGCCACGTTGTTGCGCTCGCGGCGGCGGCGGTACTCCTCGGATGTGCGGTCCACGCGCTTCGAACCGCCGCCCGGCTGCTTGGAGGCGGCCGGCCGGGCGGGCGCCGGCGCCGCCGGCCGGCTAGCTGTCATGCCGCCCGACGACGACGGCGTCAGGCTCGTGTAGGCTGGGCTGTAGACGTTGACGCCTGGGTAGGCGGAGCCCGGCGGCGGCCGGTACGCGTGGTACTCGGAGGCGTCCGGGTCCTTCTTCACGGGGATGTGGGAGGTGGCGGCCGGCAGGCGCGGCGGGCCGGCACATGCTGTCGGCTGCGCAGGCGGCAGGTAGCCGCCGCTGGGGTACGTCAGACCCGAGCACGTGGCGGACGGCGCGGCGACGCGGCCGCCTAGTCCCACACCCAGGCCCTTGCCGTCGACGATGTCGGGGAAGATGCCGTCGCTGAAGTGCGGGTCGTTGACGAACGCCTGCAGGTCGAGAGACACTTCGGACGCGCCGAGGTCCGCCAGGTCCCCGAACTCCTCTCCGTACGGCCCACCCAGCTTGGCTTTGTTGGCCACACTCAGTAAGTTCGGCTTCACCACTGCATCACTCAAGTCATACATCTGGGGCGATTCCATGCCCAACCAGCATGTTGTGTCCTCACTCAGCGCAGGGGCAATGGCGTCGAAGTCCGGCAGCGCGTCCGCCTGGCCCGACTGCAGCCCCGCGACTGGCAAATGCAGGTCAGCCAGCGCGCACCGACTCGTCTCCGCCCCCTCGCCGCACACGCACGAGTCCAACTGCGAAAGTCCGCTGGCACCACCCGACAACTATCACCGCACCACCACCAGTCCGTGAATGTCGGAGGGTGATGCAACACCTCCTCATATACCGTCCCTTTCGCCGGCAGCGTGCGCAGGCATGCTTATTACACTACGTGTGATGCTCTATGAAGATATTTTTCAGTTCAGGTAAAACAGAATTGCTAAAAAATATTGCTTTGATGAATTTTTGAGAAAGACCTTTCCCATTTTGGCATACAAAAAACACAGAGTTTGAGCAGTTTTGGGGTACTATTTTTCTGCCGACGAGGAATATTGGCGGGGCCGATGACGTCACGATCACATGGCCGTGACGTAGATGGAATACCGCGCTAGGATTGGCTGCCGTCGAACCAGGCGCATAGTATTTCTGACGTCAGACGGAATGTGCCGGAGGGGTCAGGCGCGCCTCCAGGTCACGTGAGTGGGGGCACTAAATAGCGCGGCGCAGTACCCAACTGGACCCGGCAGATAGCAACTGCCCCTGCAAATATACAGATACGTCACGATGCGCAGCAGCTGGCGTAAGCACACATCGGTGGAGCTGCCAAATCTAGAGGCCTTTGTAGCATTTCAGAGGTATCTTTAGAATACTTTATCCTTCATGCTGGCAATAATCCGTACCAAGGCTCGCCCTGTTGGAGTTGGGTAACTATCCCTTCGTATCTCTGGCTTGAAAAGGACTCTAAAGAAGAACAGCGTGTCATTCAATAGCCTATGCAAAGCTGAACAATAGGTATGCGGTCTTTTATTACATTATGTCAGGTTCAACTGCCAAAGGCTTGGTTATATCAGGTTGAAGTGTATTGCTTTCCTGTTTGATCGGATTTTCTCCGAATAAACTTTTGTTGAATAAGTTTTTTGTAGGAAGTGTCAGTAAAAACTTATGGTTGATTGCACGACGAATATTTGTTGATTCGCTCCATACAGACACGCCTCGGTCGGCACCAGGCGAAAATAACTCATACTGAAAGGAAGTGCCCATATTTGTATTATGTTCATCCTCTGTCACTACGTCCAAAGCAGCAGGGGCACCTTTGCTTGCACAGTCACCAGCATCCGGAAGTTGGCACATCCAGGTGAGTTGCCAGAAACGGGCAAATGGCGCACATGAATGGGAGTCAGGCCTGATTCGTATGTCAAGATGTGGCGCAGGAGAACCAACCACAAATGTTGAAAACCTGGCGCCGGCGCCCACATAACAAGAAAGTTTTGTGCTGTACCGATACGTTGACAGTCTAATTTGGACCCAACAACAATTGAAATTAGTTTTTTTGTTTTTGTTGTTGGTGTTGCAATGGCGCTATACGCCGCTAAGGTTACACATAACTGGTTCTGAGGTTCCAATGGAGTATTCTTGGAAGGTACCTTCTGTATTTGTCAGGGCTATGCATGAGAGATAGAGAACAGAGATCGGGGATTTGTCCTTGAACAAAACAGTTCTTATTGCCGCTTTTTGATTTCGGTTTTTTTTCTCCAAACGTATCACATCGGTCAAACACTCAAAACTTACTATCTGGGCCCAGTCACTATATCTACCCAACTGATACCGAAGACCAAAAAAAAAACAAAAAAAACTAGCTGGCCGGCAGCAAGGTAGTCTGGTACACCCATACGGAGTGTGTGATTGTCATCCAAATTCGCTGACTTCTTCTAATCGATATTAGCATCAGGTAACGGTGGGGCAGAGATCGACAAAACGGCACTCCGCTGCCATACATACAGACTTAAACATCTCTTAACTGTATACCGACTGTAGGGCTTTAGTATTACATGGGAACATGGGCGGAGAATACGGCATGACAGGCGACGTTCGTCTTGGCAGTGGACGTGGCATATTTCATTAAATAGTCATGAAAACGCATAGAAGAACCTTTGGCCAGAAAACGTTGGGTCAACGCCGGCGAATGACGCAACCCGTTTTCCTGCCGCTGATGTTGGCAATGAGAGGATGTGCCTTCTATTCACACGTATTTCAATGAGCGTGCATGGGGATGAGAGTTTGGTTGCGTGAGGGTGTGTGGTGCCTGGCAGCGTTTACGCACGTGTGCGTACGTGTACGTCTGCGTGCACTACATTCAGGCTCCCCAACTCGGGTGCGACGAAAGAAACAACAGCGTGGTGAACAGCTGATCGTAAGGCCGGAAGGAAAGCTACAATATCACACAAGTTGCGGGGCGGTCACTTAACACGCAGCCGAATTAGTGAAATGCTCTCCAGCCGCTGTCGCGTATGAGAGACGTGCGGGCGTTAGTTCGGCGTTGGCCGCTCCCAAAATTTGGACGGTTCCGAGCGGATGCGAGAGGGGCCATCGCTCCGACTAAAAAAGCCACAGGTGAAAAATACCGCACAGGCAATGTCCCCAATGACAGTAGCTACCTCTGGTTTCAGGTATCAGGCGTTAGGTACATACTTAGCCGTGATTTGCTGAAACCGACAAAGTCGAACACAGGTGCACGGAGGAGGTACCACTGGGTAGGCAAGATTCTCAGATGTGATGGGCCCACATATCTTTATCCGTGCCAAAATATTTGGAAATCTCCAAAGCCAGGATCGATCTAGCGTGCATAGCTAGCAGCAACGTTGCGGACAGGAGGTACAGCCATGGTCAGCAAAATAATCGAGGGCATAGTCCAGTTATGAGCCAGGATCAGATACGGTCCAGTTGTGAGCCAGGATCAGATACGGTCCAGTTATGAGCCAGGATCAGATACGGTCCAGTTATGAGCCAGGATCAGACATGGTCCAGTTATGAGCCAGGATCAGATACGGTCCAGTTATGAGCCAGGATCAGATACGGTCCAGTTATGAGCCAGGATCAGACATGGTCCAGTTGTGAGCCAGGATCAGGTGCGGTCCAGTTATGAGCCAGGATCAGATACGGTCCAGTTATGAGCCAGGATCAGACATGGTCCAGTTGTAAGCCAGGATCAGATACGGTCCAGTTACCAGCCAGGATCAGGTGCGGTCCAGTTATGAACCAGGATCAGATACGGTCCAGTTATGAGGTAGGATCAGGTGCGGTCCAGTTATGAGCCAGGATCAGATACGGTTCAATAATGAGTCAGAATCAGCTGCGGTCCAGTTATGAACAGGGATCGGACATGGTCCAGTTATGAGCCAGGTTCAGATATGGTCCATTTATGAGCCAGAGTCAGCTACGGTCGGGACAGATTATGCCGTAAGAGGTCCCTCCCATGAGAGGCAACAAGCCTAACAATGGAATATCTTAAAACAGATTCATGTCCAGCTTTTTTATGCTCATCCTCTCCGGGATGTCGGATTCGGCCCCCCCCCCGCCGTGAAATTTCGAAGTACATAATGCCAAGACTTTGGCATTGCGTCGCGCAGTTTCTCGTAAAATGACCTTACCGACGAGCATTCGAAATCAGAATTTTGTGACGAACGTAGTATAAGAAACCCAAGAAGGGGGACGATATCAAGAAACGAAGATGATGGGCATTGCAGTTTTTATTTGAGAGTTGAAAAACAACTTCTCTGAATTTGTTTTGACATGCTTGTTTTCATGCTTGTAGTTTTGACGACAGCCGTTCTCACAATAGATAAGTGCGATAAAAAGTTTTTGAAAGGTTTGTGTGTTACAACAATCTGACAAGGAAATGATCGTTTTCGTGCAATTGCACTGACATTCAGAGTTGAAATAAATATATTGCATGTAACGATATCTTTTAATAATTCCGTGTTCCAGACCATGCCTTTAGTTTAACAAAGCCTGATAGAATATCACGCCTGACAGTCAGGCTTGTGGCCCTGCTGATGGCGTTGGGAGTTGGAAGCGTCATCATGGTCTACATTGATCAACACATAAATTGCATCGTACTGTCATAATTTGTATTGTAGATCACAGTGGTCATACATATAAATTGGCGGGTGCAAGTCGCTATCGCAGGCCCCTAATGCACGCATATTCTGTGAAAAAGAGCCTGAATGCACCATAATTGGCCCTGTCATTGCCAATAGGAGGCTGGCAATGATGAGAAAAGCCCAGAACGGTGAGCATCTTAGATGGATAACATATCGCCATTAAAACATTCGATGTTCTGTAAGGACATTGGCTGTGCTGTTAAAATATTGGATAGTCTCGGACTTAGGATGCAGAAGTCTATGGAAGGGTCAGTGAGGTGCACCCAAGGACTTTAAATTATTTCCTCCATTTCTCTTTTTTCTATTAATTCTCTTTCAACACATTCTTCATGCGGCAATCATAACATTGGGGGAATTCATGATATAATATCTCCATCCTCACACACATTCAAAATTACATATTTATTTACCTATACGTACATGGCATATATATATATATATATATATATATATATATATATATATATATAAACTAGTGCATACCAACGCATGCACGGGTCTAGGAGCCACGTCTGTTTATCACTTTGAATAAGTTCAACACTACGTACAGCGATGCCGATAAAAAACGAAAGGAAAATATAGAAAAAATTGCGATCAACAATTTACGGAATGTTCCTACGTCCAAGGAGACATCCATTCAAAGATGTATGTGCCACATTATAGGTTAATAATATTAATATTGAAGTGCCAAAACGCATGTTCGGGATGGTTCAATGAAAATGCGTTATGGGCTGAGTAAAGTACAATCCAATGGTGAGTTACGCCGACAAGTACTCAGAATGTTGCTGAAAATGCTTCACGTGCTTACATTACTGTCTTGGAGCTAGATCGTCGACGATAAGCACCCTCAGCTCAATAGTGCCTTTCATTTGGGTATACAAAGGGCCTATTAAGGACGTAACATTCGCAGCTGACATTTCTAACAAAAACTTATTTTTTGTTTGTTCATGTTGATATGGTGGTTTATACTGAAACATTGTTCGTTTTCAAAGAAGCTGTGCCTCCCGCCAGTTTGGAGATCGGAGCTGTGGTCATGAGGGCAGCCCTGCTACCCACAAGCTATATTTATTTTATCTTTTGCACCGTAAATGGCTCATGTCGGACATTTTGGAGCTGGCGCATGCTTTACATTGGATACGGACAATACAGATACATCGCCATTGG